AGAGCGCTAGCCTAATGTTTTACAAAGATGTGTGAACTTACTCGCCCGTGAGGTCCGTCACCGCCGTTCCCCAACGAGCATAGGCTTGGCGGCGCGCACGGTGCACAGTGGCCACTTAGGCCCCAGCCGGTGTAAGCTTCCAGAGACGCTTGCCCGGACGAGAAGCTTTCTTGAGCCTGATGAGCGCCGTCGGGTCACCTTTTAATTCCCTACCTAGGTTCTGCCTAGAAGGGTTCTTACTCTCTGGGTTTTAAGGGGCCAGGCAGTGGAAAGCGCCCCGGGCGGTTCCCCCAGTATCCGCCCCGCGGTTCCCCCAGTTACGTCCCCTTAGCTTAGCGTTGCTTATCTCATCTGAGTTTAGCTTATTTCATCTTAGTTTAGCTTAGCTTCATCTTAGCTCAGGTTTATCTTAGCTTAGCTTACCTTCATCTTAGCTTCGCTGAGATTTAGCATAGCAGATCACAGCATAGCATAGCATAGCATAGCGCAGCATAGCATGGCATAGCATGGCATAGCATAGCATAGCATAGCATAGCAACTAATGCTGCTTTCCTAGGGGCCCCAACTTCTAGGTAGGGTCGCACTGGGGTAACTGTCTTGGCCACAACGTCACAGCCCAGGGAGCGTACCGAGACCTTCTTTGAACACTCAAGGGCTTCTTGCCGATTCCCTGACTGACCTCATGGCACGACGCAATGCACTTCGTCTCGGTGCCCGACATAACGAGTTCAAACTAACCAAAAGTTTCTCCCAGCTTAATCCCTGCAGACCCCAAATGCTCCGCTATGCCTCTGGCAGTTCCCAACATTTGCAATGACACATTATCCGCAGCGTTGCGTATGTGGACCGCGGCGTTGAGATCTATAGCTCGTGTTTCCTGGCCCGCGCAGACGTGCGACTTGGGCCCATCGAAGGCTTTGTCCAACCTCAACTCCAGAACCATTTCAGTAGGCACTGGCCCTGGGGTGCGAGCACTACCCCTCTGTGATCCAGCAAGTGGCGATTGTGACCTCAAGCTCAGCTGAGTAGGCAGTGGCTTGAAAGTGCTAGCAACCGCATGTGATCCAGCACCACGTGTCGACCATGGCTCAGGGCTCAGCTCAGTAGGCACTGGCCCTGAGGTGCTAGCACCGATTCCATGTACCCGCAGCACGGGTAGGAGTCGTAGATCATGGCTTGCAGCATCAGTGTCACCCACAGGTCCAGAACGGATCGCAGAGTTGTTCCCACCAGAATAATCAGCGCACGCACCAAGAAGATTGTCAGGACCGTTTCTTCGATCCCGAAACCGAGCACTGGTACAGGCCAAGGTTTTGGAGAATCTCACCTGTGTGTTCAACTTCCCCATTGAACCAGGGACCGGAGTCATCAAGGTCAACCTCTCTGCCCCAAGGCCGCCAGTTGCTCCTTGAGGACTCGCTTCGTAGTACGTAGTCGCTCCTCTGCACCTTCATATGGGTTCTCTGTACTGGCAGTGGCTTTGGCATCTGCCATTGCGTTGGCCGTGTCTGCCCTCGCCGTCGTGAAGGTCCATGTCATCATCATCATCATCATCATCATCATCATCATCATCATCATCATCATCATCATCATCGTCCTCATCTACAGGATCCACGTTACCATCAGGCATGGCAGCGCATGTCGGCGCAGCTGCCACTGCGTGGGCTCGAAGCGCGAAGCGCAGCGTCTCCAGATGCGCGGACACTCTCTCGCCACCTGTCTCTTGCTTGAGCCAGTTCTTGAAACGTTCGCTGGCCGACTCGAACAGCAGCTCCTACATCTTGAGCATTGGGCCTTTCCCATCCGACCCAGCTTGTATGGCAGACGTCTCCTTGGCCTCCTCCTCCACTTGGTCGACCTGCCCTCTGGGCTCTCCTCTCCTCCCTCTCCTTCTCCTCCTCGTCCCCTCCTCCCTCCCTCCGTCCCTCCCGATCCTCAGCCTCCGCCTTGTCGTTCTCCCCTCCCCTTCATCCCCCCCTGGGGCACAGGAGCGTTACCACTCTGGCCCTCCTGGGTCCTGATCTCGTGGCAGGGCTGCGAGACCCCCATCGTCCTAGATGGCGTTCGCCGCAGTGAGCAGCAATACCTGCGTACCCTCACAGGTGGGGACAGGGCGTGGGACGGGAGGG